TGTGGTTTTAGTGTATCCCGATCACTAAGTGGTCCTGCGCGAGCTTCTACGGCTAGAGACTAACCGACTTAAAGTCATCTCATCAACTCTCCCTATGAGCCGTTTGCGCGGGAAAGCAAGGGGGGAGGTGGGGGTTGGGAGAGGGGGGATAGTTTCGAGTCGAGATGAGAGAGTGAACACAGCTGTTGCAATTCTGCTTCAAAATCAAATTTGCCTCGAAATTTTGCATGTTTTCGTTTTTGCCGCCCGACATTTGCAGTCAACGAATTTGAACTGCTGTCGAGTGTGTTTGATGAAGCACGAGTAAGTGGTTGGGCATAGATAACAACAAACCTAAATAGACGTAAAATAGGAAAAAATTCAAAAATTCATGCAAGAACAGATTTATACCGTAGTAGTAATGAGAAGGTTTCTTTTTGAAATCCCAACTCGACACGAATAAAAAAAATTGTTTTTCTAAGGCACAGAAAAGCTATGTTCAAGGAAAAAAATCTATCCTACCATTTGATTTATTGGCAGCCAAAGGGCGACCGCTCGCATCCGCGACGCAACCTGCGTCTCTCTCGCGAACGTGCTCTATGATCGTTCTCTAACTTCAAATAGGTCATGAAGCCCCGCCTTTCAGCCGCCAATCCAGTTGAATAAAGGGTACAAGACATGTGAAGTGCAAATTGTTGTTTGACACATGCAAAGACTAATTTCAACGGAAATGGCTTGTCTTAATTTAACGCGAGAAAATCAAGGATTTAAAGGACACATTGCTTTCTAGTCGACCTCGACCTACCTCCTTCCCCCCCCCCTCTCCTATTTCCGTCTCATAGACTATGTTTTTCGTTTGTTTTTATTATAGCTGTCATTTCACAAAGCCTCTAGCAAATATTCTGCTTAGCTGAACAGAGTAAAAGAAAATCTTGCTTTATTTTAGGAGTAGTTGAGGATGACAATAGTAAACATACGAAACAGGAAAAAAGTTGTAGCCCAAATTAGATGTCTGGTTTCCCTTCCGTCCATAAATTCGTACATTGAGAGGGTTTTTTACGAAGTTTGAAAAGTGGCATTGAAACAACAAACTAGCATGCATTAGGTCGTAACGTAAGTTTTGCTACAATTTCTTTATTTTCTCTAAAAAACTCTAGAAACTTCAGCAAAGTATAAAATTTGGCACATTTGAGCAATGGACAAAGGACTATCTAATGATATCATTTACGCCTTTACGGATGCGGATTACAGTAAATATAGAGGCAAGTCTCTGACGGCGCTCAAATCTCCTTTTCCTCTTTTCCCTTCAAAAATTCTCTCACTCTAATTTTTCATGCTCTCGGATTTTTCATAAATTTCTGGGTACATTAGGCCTACCATGAAGGCAGATTGGGAGTCTACGCTCTTCGATAACACGAGTTGGAAACTTGCCAAAAATATTTTAAAATTTTCCAAAAGATAACGCAAGTTGAAAAATTGGCCAAAAATAATTCAGAAATCTTGGAAAAAATTAAGAACTCGGATTTTTCATGTGTGACATGTACATATTGAAAACTTACAGCCCTGCACTCAATTCGGAGATGAGAATTTTTTTTGAGAAAGTAATGGAGGTTTTTCCATCAAATGCAACAAAACTCATATTACGACCTATTTTAGAGGGTTGTTTACGAAATTCGAAAAATGTGGCATTCAAACAACAACACACTGTTAGTGGCATGGTATTACTATCCATTCTCTCTATGTTCACAAATGGAGCCGAGAAATTGCTTAGAATAAAATTAGCATCAAAAACTTTTGCTGGGTATGTACTAACAAGTGCATAATAGCATTTACCCAGAAGATTGGAATACTATGACGATTATTTTTAGCCATGCAAAAAACCAGAATGAAGAAAATAAGTTATATTATCTGCCAGTAAGTGAGCGAGTAAGCTAATAAATCACTCAAGTACTTTTAGGTTCTCGTCATAGAAGTGCGTAGGCTACAAAGCTGCGTAGGTGCAACGGAATAGGAAAAAAATGAGTAAAGAGCTTTGAATGAAGTTTATGCATTCACCGAGAATAATTTGTTCTACGCGTGTGTTATTATAGGTAATTATTATGGTCAAAAATATCCATGTTTTTATAAAAATCTCAAATCTTATTCTTTTTTCCTCCTCTTTCTCTTCTTACTATAAATGGAAAAAAGAGTAGGAACTCATTCAAGTTCTCTATGTCTGCCATAAAAGCACCTCAATTTTACACAAAGAATGAAATGAGACTAGTTGTAAAAAGCATTATCGACTAATAGAGTTTTTTTGAAAAAAAAAGGTCTGAAAATGTGTAAAAAAATTCATAACAGTGTTATGAATATGATGTACAAATAACCTTTAATTCAATTGATTTGAGGCTAGAGAATGACCAGAGAGATCGAGTGCGGGAGGACGCTGACTGCGTCGCGGGCTGAGCGGCTTTAATTAGATCACAAAGCTCCGCCTTTTAGCCGCCAGTCCATCTGAATCAAAGGGTGCAAATGCGATTAATGTGTAACTATTGGTCGTAACATAAGTTTTGTTAACTGGATAAAAAAATCCTTATAACTTTTTGAAAAAATTTTTCTCATCTTAAGATTAAACGGGGTGTTGTATATTTTCGATGTATGCTTGTCGCACATGAAAAGCCCAACTTTTGAATTTTTTTGGAATTTTTTCGAAATATTTTCGGCAAATTTCCAACTTGCGTTAGTGAAGGTCCTAGACTTCCAAACTGCCTTCACATTAGTATGATGTTCCTGGAAATCTATAAATCTAAGAAAATACAAAATGAGAATGAGAGGATTTTTATGAAAAAAAAGAAAAAAGTGGAGATTGTAGTATCACAGAATTGCCTTTATATTAGAGATGAGTCCGTCTCCCCTACCCCTCATTCTTTTTTAATTTTTTCACATCCCCCTCTTCTTCCAGTAAGTTCCATGCAAAAGAATCATATGTGCCTGCTGCCACTCAATACCTACCCTCCAAGACTCATCAGAAAGCAATTTTTGAAGTGAGAGCGGTGATGAGGCTATGAGTGCTTTCAGTGTGTGCTTTTTTATGTCCGCTTTACGTCACTCTTTCCTATTCCACGCACGATTTTTATGCTACATCGGCAGCGTCTTTGTCAGCCCCTATGCGGGGGGGGGTACAGGATTTTTTTTGTGAATATGTTCTTTCTCTTGTACTCTCTTTGTGTGAGAAAATTTGGCAAGAAAGTTTGAGTCAAAGCGGCTGGCAAAGCGCTGGGATTACTTTTCCTGGTTTTTAAGAAAAAAGAAATTCAATATTCCAGAAAAATCTTGGGGAAACTTCTGGGAATGAAACTAGAAGTCATTATTCAGCAGAATTTTTTTCGAGAGATTGCTTACAAAGTCTTCTCTAATTGTCTTCAATATTAATTTTCCATTTTCTTTTCAGGAGTTCAAAAATAGATGCAGGGAAAAATTCATAATTCAGTGGCAACATGGCAACGCAGTTTCTGGTCAGCTGCGACATCATTATTTTGCAAGAACAAAAAAACTGAAGTAAATAACAAAATATCCAATAACATTTAAAAAAACAGATCCGCATAAGGACGGCGATAATTTCGACAATTCAGTAACTGTACAACACATATAAAAATATAGCAACTTTTATATCGAAATTTTGAAGGAATAGGACATCTGCGAAAATGTAATTTTATTACCTTTTCCTCTTTTTTCTGTCTCTCCTTTTAACTTTCTCTCTGCCTCTGCTCTTTTCAAAACTATGACAACATGCAATCATCGAATTTTTTCTGCAGATGATTTGAAAATGGATGTAAGGAATACAATTTTTTTGAAGTTCATGATTAATTGAAACTTCATCTAACTTATTTGAGTTGCTTAAAGTATCAAAATTTCAACTTTATTTATTCCAATGTATTGATCAGATTAGAACACAACCAAATACAATCTATCCTGGAAAAAGTCACTTTATAATCTGATAATTGTCACTGAGCCTTTTTTCGCAAATTTGAAATGTTTGGGTAGTCTAAGTGGGCAGGTTTTCGACGGGTGAAATGTCATCTATGATTTATTGAGTCTACATTTCTTTCCCTTAGTGCTACACTAAATCTTTATAATGCCAGCTCTACATGGTTTTTTCTCCTAGTAACAAGAAAAATTTCATTTATTGATTGTGTTTGAAAAACTCTAACATAGTAAAATCTATCATTATAATCTAGAAGGCTCCTTATAGACTTTTCTCAAAAAATTGGTAGACCACAGGCATTCCAGGACAGATGTCGATTTGTTAGAAATTTGAGTTAAAGCAGGGCAAAGGAAAAAATTTAATTGGGGTACGGGGTGTACGTTAAATATTCTTATTTGCTTTTACTAAACTTTTAACGCTTTTTGAGAAGTAAAAAAGTATCAGAGAAATGGTAATGAGGAGAAATAGCATTGATGAAGATCAGTAAGAAGTCCTGCGCAGATAACCTTCAGGCATGAGCCCCCCCCCCCCCCCACAGGTTGACTTACCATTGAAAATTTGACAAAGTAAAGTAGGGAACATAAGTATGGACGATTCGGACATGATGCTGACCACCGAGGATGACTGATTTGACGAATCAGAGATGATGGCCTTATTAAGCGATATTCATCTCTGACCTCTTGGCTATTCGCGATGTTAACCACGTTTACTCAGAGCGAACAGAAATGGACAACTCGTCCACTCTAACATTCAGGATGTACTCCAAGGGGTGTTTACAAGGCTAATGAGGTGTGCGTTGGTAATTAAGAGCAGTAAAGAGTTCCTATGGGTAATTGTGAAGTGTTTATTCAGGGATGCGTTGGGGATAATTCTGGGTAAGGTTGGGTAAGGATAATATTGAGGGGAAGACGCAACAATAGAATAGTTCAAAGTAAATAATGAATAAATAATATGAAGAAGCGCAAAAACAACACTTCAACAGCTGGCTAACATCATAGCTAGTGTAAAGAGACCCCCTAACACTGAACCACCCAGAATGACTAAAAAATCAACAAACCTGATTTTCTAGCTAGAAAACAAGCGGTGAGTAAAACTAGCATGACGAACTGCTGCCACCGGAGCTGGCACCCAGGTGCTAACGAGAGCCCCTCGGCCTCTGGGGGCGGACCCACGCGGCTCCGCCCCTTTCACCTTATTCAGCGCTGGTTCACATATGTCATCTGAATAGCGAACTACTATCCGATTTCTAACTAATGTATGAGGAGAGAAATCAATAAATGGGCGGAGTTTGACTACTTTTTAGTTCGGATTGTAGCAAATTTCGCAATTCGAGCACAATTTCCTGCCGCGTTCAAGGAGCTTGAAGTGCGCTGAAGAGTCGGAGAAGATGGCAGCTGTCCACACATGGAGAATGAATGCATGAAATTTGGCCGATGGTCATTCTTGTTCTTTCAATCATGATAATGGGTGAAGTGGGTAACTGAACTACATAAAAAATAAATTAGTCAACGAAATCTGGTTGTATAATCAATCGCTCGAGAATAAAAAATAAAGAAATCTTATAATCAACAACGAGCAGGAAAAGTTCAGGGGATATGTTTAATGAATTACTTTACATTTTATCAACAATTTTTCAAAGGAAAATTGAGAAAATTGCAATATAAATATTCAAAAAACATTTCATTCTCATATTTTTCTGTTTTTTTTTCTTATTGTTAATTTTTATGTTTTTTCTCATAGAAGCATCCTATCAATATAGTGCAAATTTTTGCCATTTGATCAAGAATTGTCCATAGGTCACGAAATCTGAAAGTTCACAATTACTGTTTTTTCTGCTTCATTCTCATGTGCCTTTCTAAAATGCATCACTTGTATGCTTTAATAGTATCCACTTTTACGCTATTACCGCGGAGCGAGACTTGACAATGGTCCGTGATTTTGTCGTAAGTCAATTGCCTTTGTATGCAAGAATGTGTGTTTATTAGCCTATTGAGCTCGTGTATTATGCTTCAAGTGAATTGCCCTAGGCAATCGAAAAAGGACGAATGAATGGTGAAACCAAAATAGCGTATGCAGGATTTTTTCCAGTAAAAACAGGGACGTTTTTGCGCGAAATTTTGACGAAAAAAAGTCCTTCTCATGAACTTTACCTATAACTGGACAATTACCCCTTAAACCTCCCGGACATTCCTCATTCAGCCAGAATCTTAGGTTTGACATTTCCCATCGCTGTCTGCTTCACCTGATGTTACAATGACTGCTTTAGAATTCTCAGGGCTGCCCGACATATGAATGCTGCCCTTTCCATGCGAACTTTTGCGTTCACTTCACTTGTCGGGCGAATTAAATTAGGCTAAAGGAATATTTTGGGGGAAAGGTTTGACTAGAACGAGAAAAAAGTTCGGGCAGAGGTGGCTGGGTGAAAAGTTATGGAGAAAATTGCTCCTACAGAAAAAGGAATAACGGAAAAAGTTACTCGGCGAAGCTAATATAATACAATAGAGTAAATGAATAAAACATTACTTGGAAAAAATGCAGTCGTTTCTTATTCTAACTTGGGATAAGATGCTTTTCGAGAGTTCGTGCAAGTCTCATACCCTGGCTACTTAAAAATGTGCAAAAGACCATCCATCAATGTAATCCTCGTCTGAAAAGACACCACCGACCCTAAAATCGGGACATTTTGCATATGTAGGTGCTTTAACTTTTATTTTTTTCTCTTTCACAAATTTATCGCGCCCCTCTACTTGTTTTTTTTAGATATTTTGGACTAGGAGCACTTACTGTATTATGGGGGGAATGACAAAGGTTTGAGCTTACTGAAATATACCGGTTGATGCAAAATTATAAACGTTTTGCGAGTTCTCACTTTGACGTGCTATAATTTTTTTTGAAAATCCAGATTTTTGAGTGCGATAAAGACCTTGAAAGTAATAAATATTTCGCAATAGAGCGCACATTCCCCTGTACTTACATTTCAACTTATATTTGACAAATTATAACCCCCTTTAAAGTTCGTTAGCATACATGATGAGGTGTCTATCTTGTAGCCCCAAGCCAGTGCAATAGATAAAGATGGAGAAGGATTTGAACAAAGGAGATTTATAAAAAAAGGTAACAAAATTTATAACCGTCAGCTTTTTTCAAAATTTTTCTGTAGGCATCATATTTTCTGTAGGTTTCAAAGTCCCGAATTATAGAATTTCCCAATTTTGTAAGCACTCTCAGTGGTATGCTACATGTGTTTCTAAAGGAATTTTGTAAAAAAAATTGTCGGGAAAAAAGTCCTAGAAAAACGACCATTATTTTTGCAACAACTCAATAAAAGACACTCTCATAAGAATTTTAAACTTCTCTTTCAATAACTAAATTCTAATCTGCAAATTTTAGTGTCACCTCAAAGTCATAAGGTTTTTCTCTTTTTTTGCAAAGGATTCATATGCGATCTTATAGTTTACCAGTGGGCTTGGATGGTCAGGTCTTCTGAAGAACGCGAACTTATATTAATGTTAGGTTTTCTATACATGACATTTAGAAAATTCTGATCTTGATTAAATGAACCAGGAAAAGCAAACTATAAACTTAAAGATTTCCAGGAAGGCAATGTGATGTTCTCGTAAAAAAAGTAAAATGATGAGTAATTAGATTTCAAAATGATACGGTTGAGTCTAATCGCCTAAGATTTTTTGCGCTCATATACATGTATTCATAACGTTTTAAGAGTCAATTGAATGGACTTATAGTTATTGACTAATCAGTAAGCATCCTCTTTACTTGTCTCTTGCAACTTGTTCGTCATAATTTATAGCGCCTCTAGATTTGGGTTGATATATTAGGTGGTCCCAAAAGTTCGTTCGCAATATATTCAAAAATTCATAACTTCTGATTGTCCTAACCGATTTGCTTGCTTCTTTTTCGTTCTAAAAAGTAATTTATGCGCTTCATAATATTAGGTTGTTGCAAAAATAATGTCCGTTTTGCAAATTTTCACTTTGGAAGGCTATAACTTCGTCCAGTCTCCATATTTTTGAATGCAATCAAGACCATCAGAAACATCTAACCTTTCTTAACCTAGCGCGCCCCTGCCCATACTGATATCGCAAACGGAAGAAAACCATGCGTCAGAAAACTGAAGGTTTTTGTCTTGAAATCCTCGTATCCAAGAGCTTACAACTCTCTTCGAGCTTTGTCCCTATGTCTGCTTATTAGCTTATTTTGTAGCCGCAGGCCAATCGTATAGGTGTGTTTAGAAAAAACACCAACGAAGGAATCCTGCGAAAAGAAAAGATAAAAATTCAAAAATGTTCTCTCTTTTGAGCGTATTTGTTGTAGGCTTGTAAGTGCCTAATTATGAAAATTTGGAATTCTTCGCCCACTGAGTAGCTAAGTTTCTCTTCAAATAATGTAGTAAAGGTGTGCTAATTTCAAACTTACAGAAATGGGCTAAGCTTTAGCGATTGCGTTAATTATGAGAAATTTCTGACCCATAAAAGGCCAGCAGCGAGTGTCTATTTTGACGCGTCAATTTCTCAGTCCACATTTCTCTAAAAATCTACATAAGCATATAGTAGGTAAACAATCTTCATTCAATACACTTGCTATGTTTACAGAAGAATTCGTTCATTTGCCCCTGAATTGTGATCAAGAAAGTGAAAGCTGTGAGATTCTGATTTTGAGTGCGGATGTGGAAAATGCTGGTGAAATTCTCACAAGTGAGGATAGCAGCTTAATTTCACAGCCATGAGAAAGTACATGAAGAGAGCTTTCCAATGATATGCAGATGCTATATAGAAAAAAAAGTCTGATGGGAAAAAAGTTGTTTGGAATATAGGTTTAGAAATCGGACATTATTTTTGCAACAACGTAATAGTATTTTAGCGCCTTTCTTTTGAGCACATATACACAGATAACCGCTGAAATAAGTCACCAAAACTTCGAATTTTCTGTGTCATAAAAAATCTGAAACTTGCAAAATTCAGAGCAATTGGTAGTATAGGTTTCTTACCTACTCTTTTCAACAATGCAAAGCTTGTGCTGATTGAATCTCTCTACTGAAAGTTATATTCTTGAGCGAGCAGTACGAAACAGCAAATTTTATCTTTGTTGGCTTTTTTTTGAAAAAATAACTTTTCCTAGAGACTTTTGATCAGCATAAATTTTGCTCATTTAGAAAGGGAGATAATAAAAACTTCAATATCGATTTAGCCGGTTTTTCATTCAGATTTCATTTTTTACGGCCAAGCATTGAAAAATCGAAAGTTGGATAGTCTTTTTCTACTGCTTCTATCAATGCTATGTATGCGCAATAGGAAGACATTAAGACACTTTTATATAAAGCATGGTTTTCCCTTTTTGATGAAAATAAAAGTAAGCAAATCGATTAGAAATATTAGATGTCATGAAATTTCGAAAATGGTGGAAAAATGGTGCGAACAAACTTTCGCGACGACCTCATGTTTCGAAAAAATTTTACGCAGGTATGTCACTTCTGAATTTTTTGATGACTCAACTCTGAAGTTCTTTTTGCGTCTTCCTTCCACTTTCATACTGCGTTTATGTCGGTGTCGTTACACGACCATACATCAAAAATGCAGGTTCAAGAAAAGAGCAAGCCGCCCACTGAGCTCACCTTCTTTAAATTGACGTCACTTGCAGGAAATTCAGCATTATTCGAAAGGGTTTTCTCGTTTGGAGTAAGAAGTCGTGCAGGCCAGAAACATGGCTAACAAGCATAACATAACAAACAGAAACAGACTTAAGCTACATGAATAAATCCTGAAAAATCATATTTTTGGCCCTATAACGTATAGCAGGATCGTAGATTCTAATCTATATGAAGGTACAAGTCAAGATGCTTGTGGTTCCTATGATCTTAGATGTTCAACTGGGGCGCCAAAAAAGAAATCGCATATTTTCAAATATCTACGAGAACTTTGCTCCGTTAATGGCGACAATAGTGATTTTCTAGGTAGTAGCTTTCTGTCAAGATGTTCCTGGGGTAAGAGCTGCTCGGCGTGGTGAGAGACCGACAAGAATTCTTTGATTTTTTTCTCGCTGTTGGGGGGGGGGGAGGGGGAGGGGAGGAGGTATGAACGCATAG